TGTAAAGTAAATTTACTGTGTTTAATGCAGCAAATAGAGGTAGCAGTCTTAGTTTTATTCTGTTTTCCATTGTGTACTAATTATAAAACCGTTTAAATGTATTCAGACTTCACAATAAAACTGAATACAAAGCCCAAGTCTATACCACATGAAAACATGTGTACTTTTAAGCTCTACACTTCCCATAGGTGTCCAGATGACTAACGTGAACAGAAATGTTTTTTATTGAGCTGAATTCAAATTCAACTTTATTCAAAGAGCTCTTTCAAGGCCCTTGTACTGTAAGGTGAAAACCATATTGCATTAAAGGATGAACCCCCAACAATGAGATGATATCCTATGAGTGAGCATTTAGTGACAGTGTGAAGGAAGAACTCAGTTCATATATTCTGGATTTAACAGGGAAGCAGATAAAAAGAAAAACTAGTTAAAATAGACTAATATGGGAGAAATATCTCATTTTCTATTTCCTGTTAGTACTCTCACTGCAGTGTTTTGGATCAGCTGAGAGCTTTTCGTGAAACTTTTAGACGATCCGGATAATGAGAAATTACAGTTGAGTATTTCAGCCTCAACATAATAAATCCATGAACTAGTTTGTCAGCATTACTTTCAGACAGGATGTTTTGTTTAGTTTTGACAATGCTATGAAGATGAAAGAAGGCACTCCTGTATATTTGTTTTATGTGCACATTGAAGAACATATCCTCCTCATAGAGCATGTTCTCAGCTCCTCCTGTAAATTACATCGTAAATTACATATCGTGCCTATAGTTTTACTGATTTGTGTCATCTGGCTTCACAAATAAATACAACTGGTTATTATCTGCATGGCATTGGAAATGTATGCATTGTTTTCTAAAGATATTACCTGAGATGTGTAAATTAAAAGGTATTGGTCCCAACTCAGGACCCTGTGGAACTCCATGACTAACTTTTATGCATGACAAAGAATCCTCATTTATAAAAACTAATTGACTTGATTATGTTTCAAATCAGTGCATTTTCTTTAATCTAAGTGGCATGCATGGTAGGTTTTGGTTAACAGTAATTAGTCTCACACTGATAAGAATTTAGCTTCGTTAAACTGATAATGTTAGATAAGTAAACATTGCTTCTCAAGCTTCGCCTCCCACATTTTGGAAGCACCAGAATGTTAAATTACCTTAATCTACGTGACAGTATTTTGAATTATAGCATTTTTGGTTTAACCTACTTACCTAACATCAGAGTGGCTCCATTCATATTTGATATACAGGTTATGTGGAAAGTATTCTTGCTTTTTTGTTGTTGTTTGCTTTGTTTTCTTTTTTTTTGGAGGGTAATTGGGTAGTTGTGTCAGTGCTAACAGAAGTACATTTACGTAGTTTTAAAAACTGATTTTAAAATTTTCATGCTCTTCAGTTTTCTTAATTTATTAGTCCCCGTTCTCCTCACTGTTGTCACTCGTCTCCACTCTCCTTATTTTCTCTCCTCTGTTTTATCTCCTTCTCTCTTCTTCTCTTGCTGTCACAGCTCGTTAGCGAGTGCTGCTGCTCCCTTGAGGTCGGCGGTTTTGATGTTTGTCTCTTTGTTTGTGTTTGTCCCTCATTCCTCTTCCTCCTCCGCTCTAAACCAATAAGCACCAGGAGGCAAAAAAAAAAGGAAAAATATCAAAAAACAACAAAAAACAAGCCTCTCTCTCTTCTACTCTCTCTCTTAATGACAGCTGTTGGCGTCAGATCAACGCCTCTGAGGTTTTCTATACTCAGAGCATGAGTGAAGTAAAGAAGAGTGATGTCTTATTATTTATTTTTCTTTTTTTAATCTTTAACCTTTATTTTTTCTTGTTGACTGCAATATACTTTTATACAGTGTGACACAGTCTACCTCCTATTTATCTTCTATATTCACCCTGATTCCCTGAGGAGTTCCCCAAACTTCCAGTCACTCGTCTTCCACTGTCTCCTTTCTTAATACTTTTTCCCATAGTTTGAGCCGACTTCCGAATTAAGCCATTTACTGAATTTCTTAAAAATAGAAATAAGGAACACCTCGGCACTCGACCAAACTTGCTATAGGCATCGCTAACAAGCTATAGCGCTTAAAACAATATCTGGATGAATTTCAGTCCAAGTCGTTCCTGTACTTTTGCGTGTTGGCTGGTAGCAGCAGGGTAATGTGTAACTGAGAGTTTATAAATACCATGTTGCATGACTCATAAAGCCAGAATGACAGCAGAAATACCATCAGTCATGTCATATTTGCAGAATGCACATCCCTTTTTTAAAGTTGTGATTCTCATTTTTTTTTTAGTTTGTCTGTTATTTCTGTGACTACTAATTGCTATACCCAGAAAATATTGAGATCATTAGCAAAAACACTCAGTGGTCTGACAGGTAGGCAGGATAGTCAGACTTATCTAGAAGAGAATACAAAGTAATAATCTATCAGCTCTTTTCTAACTACAGTTGTAATTGAAGTTATTGAAAACAGAAATCCTACATTCAAATAAGCCATTAAAGCGGTCTGTTAGCAAAGGTACTTACATTTAACTTTTTTTGTTGATCATATAGTCTTCTGAGTCAAAATTAAATTTGCCTTTTCATGTGGAACATTTGACTGACACATGCCAACTGTTCATAATGTAAATGAAGTCATATAAGGATGTTATTATCTATAAAGTTACAGGGTTACATCCCGCAAAACATGAGGAGGAATAAAAGTAACATTTTAAATGCAAACAGAAATCCCCACAAGCTGAAAAAGTTACACTGTGATGGGACGTTAGAGACTATTCTATAACTATTTCTTTACTGCAAAGTTTAAAAAATATTTATACTAAAATATTTGGTATGAAAAAAGGAAGGTTAGCCCTGTAGCACACTGGTAACCTGTCCAGGAAGTACCCCACCCCTCACTCCAGGCCCACTTGACCCTAATTTTGATTAATATAAGAAAACAAATATATTGAAAACAGAAGTTTCAGTTTATTTTCTGGCCCTTGACTTGTTGATTAATTTACGGTTCATATTTATTTGAGCCCCTTCATAAACCCTGTAAAAAAAAAAAAATTCTCTGGGAGCGCTCCATATTTTGAGGCTTGTGTCTGAAAATCTGCTTTGCTTTCTAATTTTTATTGAAAGTAGTTCAGTCAGTCAGTTAAAATAGCTGTTTTGTTTATTTTTCTCTTTTTTTTTTATTGCTTTGTCTTTTTTATGTGGCCTTATTCCTGGAAATGTCTAGATTTAGTATTTTTCCCCCCTCAGACTGATCCCGTGAGGTTCTGAAAGACGCTGAACACAGGATTAAGAGATGCTAAGATTGCAAAAAGCTGTACAAATCTTTAACCTTTTTTTCTTGCTGACGCTTTATCCCCACTTTTTTTGTCTCGCCAGAGACTCCCCGTAGTAATCAACAAACACTCCTCGGCCCTATACCACTTGGGGGTCCAAAGGCTCAGATAAAGAAAACCAGCCGTGTTGGCTTAAATATCCCTTAAACCTTCCTAACAGGCACGTTGTTAAGG